TATACCTCTGTTTTAGCAGTACTTTTCAGCGAACGAACATTGTTTTTCTCTCACAACAAATTAGTATAGGCCAAATTTCAGCGAAACGAACGGAGCCGTTATAATATATAGTACGTAGGAAATTAACTTCCCGGAAGTAAAGACGCAGAATCCGATCAAGTGTGAGGTGAATGCTACGTTTGTCCAGCTTTCTCGTGTAATTCAAGGGAAGGAAAAGCCTTTATCGCTGTCGTAACTATTAAATCGGCCAGCCTGCTAGTGATAGAATTAGGGACACGAAAAATTCAGGAGCATAAATTATCTCCATGGAGTTGGCGAGGAAAAACAATGTTTATAGAGGTTAACGAAGGGTCAACGGTCAACACAACAAAACGGACATTCGGCTGAATCCTGTTTGTGTTTCAGTCGATTTTTTGTCAACCATTCAGAACATGACGCGTGCACGTAGAGCCGATAAGTACGGATAATTTTTTTCCCCGATCGGCTAAGACAAATTCTAAAAAAAGACGCCAACTAAAAAAGAGTCGTACGACATGAGACCAAAACCCGTTATCGTAGTGGCTCAAGATGTAAAAATCCAATAACAGACCATCCTCGAAGACAGTCGGGGAGCTTGCATGAATATGTAGGGGGCAATTCAAAGGTACATTGCTACAGTATTACCAATGGTAGTGTAGATAATTAAAATTTGTGGAAAATCTTTGTTTTTTCAAGTTCTATCTATATAGATTGCAATGGATAATTGGAATTCTGTCCAAGAAGAATGAACAATGTACGGATTTACATACTTGTAAGTTGTGATCCACTAATCAGCAACAGCAAGCATGATACAAGAGATACAGGAATTAATTACATGCATGCAGCGACATGCAAACCTCTAGAGTACAGCCGGAGCAAGGGGGGCCAGGACCCAATTTGGCCCCCACGTAGCTTCGTCCGTGCTCGAAGATCAAGAAAGAAATACTCCCTCCGTCAAATGCGTGTGATTTTTGCTTCCCGAGAAACAATTTTGACTAAACATATATTAAAAAATATTAATATTTATAATACATAATTAGTACCATTAGATAGATATATGAATCTAGTTTTTTAATAAATTTATTTAAAGATAAAAATATTGTACGTATTTTCTATGAATCGAGTTAAAGTTATCGGCACACAAATTGTAGCAACAAACATTAAGGGACACCAGAACGAAGGGGGAAGAACAGACCGACCTATCCAGAAAAATATCTACAGCGTCAGATCGGAAAAGAGGAGAAGGGGACAGATGAGGCCGAAAGGGAAAGCAAAACCAAAAACAGAAGAACATGCAGATCAAGACGATGAATCAACTGAAAATAAGGTATTACTTATACTATTTCATAACTACCTGCTACCCCCAAATCTTTGGACTTGAAAACTGCATTTCATCTAGTAAATCAAATGAACCACCAACAAATCTGCAAAAAAACATTATATTGGCCGGAGCTCCTCTAGAATGGCATCCCCACATGGACATTCTGTTTAAGTAGTTTATATGAACAAGATAAGGTAGAGTACACTTAGATTTGAGGCTGAGGATGCTTGTGTTGCCGCTTGAGAAATCATTTGCCTCTGGATCTCCAAATGCAGTTCATGAGCCTGAGATAATCGGGAGCAAATGACACTAGAATGATGGTGCTGCAGCTGAATCAAGCAATCAGCAGCTGCTTCTGATCAAGCCAAGCTACAGCTGCTGCACGAAGTTACTGAAACTTAGTACCTGAAACATGATAGGGCTGAGTTACTTAAACTGAAACTAGGATAATGAAAAATAAAAATGATGATTGCCTTGGTGCAATTAAAACTTAGACGGAATATATATTGCTCGACAAATTGTACATGGTCTTAGGTTTTCCAAGCTGATTACCTCCTAATGTACTTATGTACACAACCCAAACAAAATTCTGCTTGTGAGACCAAAACATGGCTAATTTCTGGCAATGAATTAGAGAGAGAGAGAGGCAACATGCCACTTGGACTAGGAACAAAGGAAAGAACAGAGTGAAATTGCTACTGAACAAATGTAAGTACATTGAGGCTGCCAGTTTGCACAGAAAGCTACCAGCCAATTAAAAGGCATAATGGGTACTTGAATTTTTTACTACTGTAGCTAGAAAAAGGAATAAGTAAGACAAGAGAAAATCACCCACTGCTGCTCTGGAAACAAAACTGTGGATTGCAATGCTGAAGAGGACTAAGACAGGAGAAAACACACCCACTGCAGCTCTGAAACAAACTACAGATTGCAATGAAACTGAAATACTAAACATTCAAAATCTACTGCAGTTCAATGAAAGTCTAATGCAGGTTACTAGACTGAAAACGAATCCTAGATTCACTTGACTGGAAAAAGTGAACCTGAACTAAAACTGAAAATATAATGTAATGGACTTGAACTGAACCTGAAATCATAAACCTAGATTCTACAAATCAACCTAATGCAGTTCACTGCAACTTCACTCAAACTCTATTGCAGCTAGTTGAAACTCTAATGTAGTATACTGAAAACAAGTGCAGGAACTTGAACTCTGAAGCCAAATGCATTAAACTGAAACCCATACACTGAACCAAAACTGAACTAGGCGGTGTTTAGTTCCCCCAAACTCCCAACTTTGGCACTATGCAAAAAGAAGATTCCCCGTCACATCAAACTTGCGGTACATGTATGGAGTACTAAATGTAGATGAAATCAAAAACTAATTGCACAGTTTGGTTGAACTTTGCGAGATGAATCTTTTGAACCTAATTAGTCAATGTTTGGACAATAATTCACAAATACAAACGAAATTGCTACAGTGTTTGCCGTCACATCAAACACTGTGCAAATGCCGATTCCGGCCGAACTAAACAAGGCCCTAGATTCAGTAGACTAAAATTCATACATTGAACCTGAACTGAAAAACAAAAAACTGAAAAGATGACTGAAAAGAGGACTGAACTACAACGATTACTATAGGCTATCCGACAACACAATGGACTGAATAACAAGCTGAAAAAAGTCCACTAAAAAAATTGACTAAAACTGAACTTGAAATCATAAACCTAGATTCTACAATACTGAACTTGAACTAAATCTGATGTAAACTGAACCTGAAATCTGCAAACTGAACTAGAACTAAAAAAAACTTGACTAAAACAAAACTAGAGTTAATTAAAAAATGAACTAATAACTATGCTGAACCTGAAACTAAAGTCTATATACTCTGAAACCTAAAGTCAAACTGAAAACTTAACTAAAATAAAACGAGTAAACTAAAAATTAGAATGATAACTTAACTGAACCTAGATTCTACAATAATTAAGCTGAACTTAAAAGGAAAATAGACTCTACTGTACTTAAAATGAAAATAGATTCTACTCGACTTTAACTGAAAATAAGTTATACTTAACTAAACCTGAAATCAAACACAACTAAAACTGAAAAATAGACTATACTAAACAATAATAGAAACAATTCACTTCAACTGCATCAGTGATGTTATTGGTCATCCGGATGTTCAAATGTTTTTTTTGTTGTACAGTTGGTAAGCTAATTTTCCCAACTCGAAGCAACTACCTTTGGATTTTGTTTCCTTTAAAATACAGACCTCAGGTGACACCTGCCCACAACCCATACAGTAAATCTCAAATAAGAAATATAATTTTAACCATGAGCAAAAACTTGATTTAACATATCACAAAAGATCCCCGCCTAATTATACAGAACTTACATCTTTGATATGGTTTGGAATTGGAGCTTGTAACGGCGGAACTGCAGGTAGATGAAGTTCAGTAACCTGAAATACTGAATCATGATGGGTTCAGTACCTACAACTGAAACTAGAATACTAAAAAGCAGCAGACAAGTGCCAAACATAAAACACTAAAACTCAATAACCTGAAATACTGAATCATGATGGGTTCACAACTGAAACTAGAATACCTAAAAAAAATCCAAACCACCGTGAATACTAAAAACACTACAGATCCGAGCTAAGTGGACACTAAAAACAACATAGATCCATAGTAACTTAGAGCACAACACACAGATTAGGGATATGAGCATCGGATTTTTTTTGCATAATTCAGGGGAGGGAGAGAAGGCATGAGATCGTGTTAAAAAACCTTTACAATCCGATGAATAAGAACAATAATCAGCAGAAACAACTGTCTGATTGATAGATGACTGAATAAATTTAAGGAAACATTGTCTACACATGGAAAACCAAAACCCTTCAGAAAAACAAAAAAGAAAGCAAACTACAAGCACATAGGATTCGGGTAGGGGGGAGAGTACCTGCGCTGCGAAAACAGAAGCACAAACGAACTCTCAACAACGGGCGGGCTGGAGGAGGCAAACCAGATCTTCCACCGGACGATTTGGGGGAAGGAGATGAATCGACAGACACCAAAACCAAAAATGATGATAAATCGATTCAGAGGATAGAGAAGAGGCGCTACAGCATAGGCACTACCCCCACGGCTACCGCCAAAAAGCGGCGCGTCCCCGAGCTTCTGGAAGATGACCAGGAAGCCCAAGGAGGGAGAACGGTGGGAGTGGGATGGATGCTTCCAGAGAGGAAGAGAGAGAAATGAATAAAATAACACAGTTTCAGCAGACAAAAAGAGTCGCGGCGGAAACGCAATAGGCGCGGAGTTCGAAAAATTGGGGTACGGGTTCTGGATGGATTCAGACCTGATAAGACACAGAGCTGTACAATAATCGGACTCAACGAGAAACTAGCCCACGAGACAAACCAGCCCACGAAATAAACAGAAGCCTTGTACAAATAATCGACTGACGACGAAAAAATACATTCGATAGATGGTTAGAAATTGGGGCAATTATGTATTTGGCACTGGAACAAATCAGTCTTCTTTATTTAGCACTAAAAATTTTGAACTTTCTTATTTGGCATCGAGTTAAAATTTTCTTCTGTAAATGGCACTACCGTCCATTTCCGTCAGTTGACTGCGTTAACCCTGTCATGTTTCTTTCAGAAGTACCAAAATGCCCCTTCTCTTCTTTGACACTGCTTCGTTCCGTGCAGACCTTGTTTGACACTGCTTCGGTACTGAGTACTGTGGTAGACTGGCAGTGAGGTGGAGTGCCGGTGCGTATCGTAACGGACTGCCAGAAATGGGAGGCTCGACGACCACGCCCGCTGGACGCTGTCCCTGCCGTGGACGGTGCGCGTCCAGCTGGCCGCGCTAGCGCACCACCGGGACGGCAGCGTCCGGCACCTTCTCTTCTCCCTCGGCGACCTCAAGTCTGGTGCCACGTCCCGCCCGGACGCCTCGGGGGTGCGCTCTGCCGACGTCACCATCGACGCCTCCCGTGGCCTGTGGGCGCGCGTCTTCTCCCCCTCGCTCGCCGCGGACGCGGACGCCGAGCCAGCCCCCGTTCCCGTCGTCGTCTACTTCCACGGCGGTTCCCTGCGGCGTACGACGACGGCGTCGCGGCGCTCCGCTACCTTGACGCCAACGCCGACTCCCTGCCGGCGGCCCACGTCCCCGTCAACCTCTCCAGCTACCTCCTCGCGGGCGACAGCGCGGGCGGCAATATCACGCACCACGTGTCGCAGCGCTGGGCGGCAGCGTCCACGTCCGCGTCACTGCCCGCGAACCTCCGCATCGCCGGCGTTGTCCTGATCTAGCCGTTCTTCGGCGGGGAGGAGCGGACGGCGGCCGCGGTGGCGCTGGACGGGGTGTCCGCGCTGTCGGTGGCGGGGACCGACCACTACTGGAGGGAGTTCCTGCCGGAGGGCGCCACGCGGGACCACGAGGCCGCGCGCTTGTGCTGCGAGGGCGTCGAGCTCGCCGACGCGTTGGCTATGCCCCAGGCGGTTTCCACAGGAAGGGGTGGCCGCTGTTGGCTATGCCCCAGGCGGTTTCCACCAGCTCGGGCGCGGACATGCTGGCGAGGCTGCCGAAACTGACGTAGAGCACGGACGCAGGGGCTTGCGCGTCGAGCCACTCAAGGCAGCCACGGTCTTGCAAGAGCAGGCTGCTCGAGGCCGCTGGAGAGAGCTTGTGGAGCGGGCCGATGTCGAACACGGGCACGCCAAGGTCTCGCCGGAGCGACACGAGCTCGCCGGACTTGAGCGCATCCATGGTGTTGAGGATGAGGGCCGAGGAGGTCGTCACAGCCGTCACTATACGGGAAATCACCTCGCTTATTACGCCGTGATAGGCTTTGGTGGTGGACGAAAAGTCCCGGACGCGGTACGGCGGCAGCTCCCTCACCGGCGCCTCCAGCTGCGACTCTGCAGCGGACCGAATCACGGAACACTCAGGAGCATGCATGAGGTGGGTTCTAGTGTCGTGCACTTGCGTTCGTCATGGATGAGAGCGTGCGCGTACTTACCTTGCGCCGTCTGGTACCCCTTGTTGCAGAGCATGGGGAACGCCGCGGACATGCGGAGGCACGCAGCACTGCCGGTGCGCAGCGCCAGCGTGGGCACGCCGAGCCCCCGCGCCACGTCCAACAGCGTCAGCAGGTGGGCGTCAGCGACCAGGCACGCGACGTCGTCCCGCGCTGCCTGATCCTCCGACAGCAGGGCGGCCAGGCGCTCCCGGAACGGAGCCTCACAGGCGCAGTTCACGGCGAGGATGTGCTCGACGGTCACCTGGAAGACATCCGACGGTCTATTTATTTTTTCCTGTTTAGCACCGTGGACTTTTGCTGCAATCAAGGACATTTATGTCATTTTGCTAGCCACTTGACACCGTTACTGGTTTAAATGGATGGCAGTGCCATTAACGAAAGAAAATTTCAACTCGATGTTAGATAAGGAAGTTCAAATTTTCTAGTGCCAAATATGAAAGACCGATTTATTTTAGTGCCAAATACATAATTTTCTCTTAGAAATTCCGTTGTTTTTTGAGCAAGACAAAACGGACACGGGACATATGTGTACAGTACGTTGTATGGGCTTATAGTTGTTATTAACGAAGGCCTGGTCCGATTAGCTCTTTTGTATCATGGGCTATCAGTTCGTTGTGCCCGCCTTCAGGGTTCAGAGGCCCGCAGAGATTGGGCCATTGGGGGCTCGAGGTTTGTCATAATGAATCATTTCTAAAAAAAATTGAGAAGCTTCCGTCCGTAGCTCCGCCGGCGAGCACTTGCTGCCGTCGGCGTTCATCTCTCTCCGTCTGTAGCTCCGCCGGCGAGCACCTTGCAGCCGTCGGTGTCCATCTCTCTTCGTCCGTTGCTCCGCCGGCGAGCACTTGCAGCCGTCGGCGTCCATCTCTCTCCATTCGTAGCTACGCCGGCGAGCACCTTGCAGCCGTTGGCGTCCTCTCTTTTCCTCCTTCTATTAGTAACCTTAGTCCCGTCGGAGGAAGGATTCTATTCGTTTTTGCTCAGCTGCATCCAAAGCATAGTGCAGAGTGTTTTGTCGCTGCTGTTTTGCTCACCCTTCCAGAAATTTCTTGTGCTGAGTTGTTGGGTTCCTGGTTCCAATTGAATCATCAGTAATATATTTCATCAACCTTTTCCCAATATGATCTGATTTCTACTGCTCCAAGATCCCTATCGCAATTCGGGCTGGTTAAAGGGCAAACATTGGGTTTGCTTCTCGGCCTTGGTTGTGTTTCTGGGATTTTGTGAGTGTGCCTTTTTCTAATTGATCAGTAAGGGATGGCTGAACCCAACAACCGATTGCAATCTAAAAATGTAATTGATAGTGATTTGAATGATTTGCTTCAGCACTTGGAGATTCGAGAGGATGAAGAACAAGGGATTGTTCTGGAAGAAAACCTAGAGGAGTTAAAAGCAGAGGCAAGATGGACAGCATTAGCAAAGGTAAACTCCCCCAAAACTTTTAGCCATGCTGCTTTCATTGCGAATATGAAGTATGCTTGGAGTCTGGCAAAAGAAGTCAGTTTCAAAGCCATAGAGGAAAATTTATTCCTACTCCAGTTTTCTTGCCTGGGGGATTGGCGTAAGGTAATGGATGAAGGGCCATGGATTTTTAGAGGGTATGCTGTTCTTTTAGAAGAATATGATGGTATCACAAAGCCCTCTAAGATTAAATTTAAGAACATGATTGCTTGGGTTCGTATCTATGATTTACCAACTGGTTTTAGAACAAAGAATATTGGTCGTCAATTGGGAAACAAAATAGGTGAATTCCTGAAGGTGGATCTGGATGAGGAAATTAATGGGTGGAGAGACTTCTTACGTATCAAAGTAAAGCTAGATGTGGAAAAACCTCTAACTAGGATTGTCTATATTTCTTTGGGGCCTGGAAAACGAGAAGCTTTTCGTGTCAAATATGAAAAACTTCCTAAATTTTGTGCTGTATGTGGAATTATGGGTCATTCTGACACTGAATGTGGTGATGGAGTGCACGACAAGAAGACCTTCCAGTATGGGGATTGGTTGATTGTGCCTGATAGGAAAGCTATAATCAAAGGAAGTAAATCATTAGGCTCGTCAGATACAAAGGGGTCAAACTCAAAAGAATCAGCCAAGGATTTTTCCCTTCCAAGAAATTCTGAGCATAGAAAAGAAAGTAGCAGTCACAATATTCCCCATGACTCTGTTCGCTTGGAGGAATTTTGGAGGAATTTGGATGGTTTTGAGGAATGCTGGAGGAATTTGTGAGAGGAAAATACTGTTCCGGATTAAAAAAGAAGCGGATCAAGCCGGGTTTAAGGGCACGCGAATAGGGCCTTAGCTGATTTAAAAGATGATGCAAGAAGCACCTTGAAGAGGGACAGTGATCGATTCCTTAAATATGACGGAACTGAGGCTCAAAATGGTCTCGTGCCAGAATGTGATGGAAAGCAGGAAAGAAATAATCTGGCCTTAGCTCTAGTTCCTTCTTCTGACATGCCAATGGTTTTAATAAGCAAACATGTTCCGAATGTTGGATCTCTTCTGACACTGTTGATGTTCATAATGATCCTGAATATGACACAATTCTGAAGGAACGTGACCAAAAGCGCCTAAGAGTGGAGGTGGTAGAAAATGAAGTAAATGACATTGAAATGAGATCGGCGGGCTCCCATGAGGAGTGCCGCCGGGAACAATGAAAATCTTAAGTTGGAATTGTCGCAGGATTGGCAACGCTGCGACAGTAAAAGAACTTCGCGATTTAGCGAAGAATTATGCCCCCTCGGTTTTATTTATCATGGAAACTCAGATTAATAAATACCGAGTGGAGAACTTACGTTACTCGCTGGGTTTTGATGATAGTTTTGCTGTTAATAGTTCTGGAAGGAGTGGTGGCTTGGGGCTGTTTTGGAAGACTGATGTGAATGTTTCCATTAAAAAATTCTCCAAGTATCATATTGATACAATTATTGAGGAGAGTGGAAAAGACCCTTGGCGTTTGTCTTTTATTTATGGGGAGCCAAATAGATCTCTTAGGCACCGTACATGGGATATCATGAAGCAAATGAGGAGTGATTTTGATCTTCCTTGGGTGTGTATGGGTGATTTTAATGAAATCTTAGGAGAGAAGAACAGTTGGGTCCAAATATTAGAGAAGATTATCTTATGGAGGTTTCAGGGAGGCAGTGGATGTATGCCAGCTTTGTGACATAGGCTACATGGGATTGGACTGGACTTTTGAAAAGAAAGTGGCTGGTGGACATTTTGTTCGAGTTCGTCTCGATAGGGCGCTTGCATCAGCTAGCTGGAGCTCTTATTTTCCATTTGCGGTACTTCGTCACCTCACAGCAGTGAAATCTGATCATTGTCCAATTCTTTTATCCCTTGAACCAGATGGAAGAAGTAATGTTATGTATGGTCAAGGAAAACCTTTCAGATATGAAATTATGTGGGAAACAAATAAGGGGCTGCGCTCCCTGATTCAAAACACTTGGGAGAATAGATAAATCTGTAGTTCAGTGAAAGACATGAAGGAAAAATTACATGACCTTGCGGAAGAACTCAGATCTTGGGGAGATAAAAAGTTTGGTGCTATAAGGCGTGAACTGCGAGAACAAAGGAAAAAAACTAGAAAGATTAAGATCTGACCCAGCTAGAAATTATATATCTGAAGAGGAACAAAAGATAGTTGAACGGATTATCATGTTGAATTACCAAGAGGAGATTATGTGGAAGCAAAGATCACGGATTACTTGGCTTAGAGAGGGAGATAGCAATACTAAGTTTTTTCATCAAAGGGCAACCAGAAGAAGAATGAAAAATAAAATTGTAAAATTAAATCGACTCGATGGATCAGAATGCACAGATGTAAATGAATTACATGGAATGGCAAGAGATTATTATTGCAACTTATTCGAGTCTGAAGGAACCTCTAACATGCATCTAGTTTTAGACCATGTTTGTCGAAAGGTAACGGATGACATG